TCAACATAATTTATGTTGATATTGCCAGTGATTAATGTAGTAATTTGCGATTTATTATATACAGAAGATTATATGTTAGGCTTGTAATTATCCGTTTAAACAAAACGTGGTAAAAACTTTATATTTTTTGCAAGCAACCCAAATGCCAGAGTTCAGATTACAGAATCAGTGCTCCTCTATTAGGTTTTTTGTTGGAATCTTTTGGTACCTTGATTATAATCTGTCCTGCAAAAGGATCGAATAAAACTATAAACGCTTACGATACGTTTTTTATTTGTCTTGTAGGAAGGCGTGGTTTGTCATCATTCATCATCCTTATTGTTATCCTTTAACAGTTTGCTGAAGTTGAAGTAATCTGGATCCATATGAACATAAAACAAAGCATACACCATAATTGCGAATGTTACGTAATGCACTACCACGGGATAGTCCATTACTACGTAATTAATGCATTGCACGCCGCAGCGTAATTATTTCTCATGTTATTGAAATTTTGTCAGTGAAGATATCAACCATCATATCGCGTTGACAACCCTGACAGCCATTAGTGATCTATGGCCACTAACTAGCAAAAAGGTCTGATATTGCTACTAAAACAAGTTTCAAGCCATATTCATTACACATTTCCTTCTATAACTGGTTGTGTACTTGTATTACAGTAGTCCAGTGCTCACAAAGTTGGTTCCTAATTATCCAGGAGCAGAAACTCATTGCAGCATTATCAAGAGCGACCGCGACGCGCGACGCACGTGCGACTGATTGACTCGATGTGAATGGCGGAACGACTTCCAAGTATTTTGAAGTTGCAAAAACAGTCGTGATATTGAAGCCATACAACCTTCAAGTGTGAATCAATTTGATTCCATCGGTTTTATTGATCGATCGACAATTTCACTGAATTATTCAATGGACACAAATACCGACATTCCGCGATCGCTCGTGGCAGACCAGACAAAAACACACGTCGCGAGGCTCCCGAATATAATCGGCGGTGGACGTCGTGGGAGTGGTTCGGCGCTGAACATATTCCGAAGCCAGAGACGCCTGAAAAAAGTTAGCGTTTGGTGATGAGAATGTCATGTCCCCCGTTCCCAACGACATATTTGCGAGTCGGGCCCGCGTTTTGTGATAATTACAGCGCATAACGCGGGCGGTGCGCGCGGAATGCGCGGCTCTGAGCTCACCGCCACGGATTTATAATGACGAGCGAGTGTCGCGACCGCGCTGCCCTATCGACAGCGCAGCGCGCAGCAGAAAAACCGTGGCGTCCACGGCATCCGCGCGGGGCGGACCAGTTCCCATGCACACTGGCAGCCTCCCCGCGCGCCGCACCAGAGCCACGCTCCTTTTTTATCCGCTGCTAAACGACTAGCGAAATATCTGGAAATTGACATTCCTCTCATAATTCCAGAGGACGCATCCTTGGTCCGTCGAAATTTAATAAAGAATGTCTATGAAAATCGAGCGTCGACAGGGAGTGACGGGGCGTAATTACGTTCGAATTCTGCATCGGATGGGTGTGCACTCTCGCTTTTTTGTCGCACGTCAATTATATAAATTGTTGGTGCAATAAATTTCGCTGTATCTCTGGGGACGGGTGGCGGGACGGGAATGCGGCGACGATACGGCTCGTCCCGTCGTCCCGCACTGGGCCCAATTAGCATGGGATCGATAGGCGCGGCTGATGCCGATCTCCTGTCAACTGCACCGCATTGCGCAAGCACCGCAGTTATCTAATCTGAACTTAATGAATGCCACAATACTATCGCCAAACTGAAACCTAGCGGAGAAATCAGGTGAACGCGCGGCGACGTGGTTGGCCTCAGAAGTAAACATAAATGCAGCCAACCTATTTTACAATCTATACAGTTTCTTCCTTTGGTTTTTAAGCCAGTAGTTATTGTAATTCATAGACAATTCAGAACATGTTCCTTAAAAATATTTTCAAAAATTTTAGAAGCTAATGTTTAACTTTTCGCATCGTTTCAACTGTTAAGACACAAAGCGGTGCCCCATTCCTGACAAATCTTCAATAAGAGCACCATAATTAAGTATTCAAAGTAAATCATCTCATCAAGCTGATTGCGAAATGACAATAATGCGCAGCATAATAGGCTATAGAAACTGGCTCTTTGTCCGCTAATGGTTAATAGCCTTTAGCCTGTATAGACGATGCTGTTTGCAATTATCATAGCCTGCGCACCGTGAAGCGGCAACAATCGGAACTAGATTATTAACATACTGTTGTGATTGATGCAATTATAAATGAAATAGAAATTAGATTAGCTACATTTGATTTTGAATTGTATTATAAGATACATAATAGTTATAGGAGCTTTAAACGCGGAAAATAAGTAATAATATCAAAGTCAAACAGTTAATTTCAATTGCACTATTACAGTACTTTTGTAAGTCAAAGAGAGTATCTGAAGATAGATAGGTCTATCCGTCGGTCAGTCTTCTTGTAAAGCTATTATCTCGGTCTCAAGCAAAGATTTTAATGAAAACCGAGCAAGTAACTCCAAGGTTATGAGGCCGTTTTCAATCAGTTTAAAGAAAGAAAGAAAAACATTTATTCTCGCGCAAGCGCAAATAATACTAAAAGTCTAAACTAAATGATACAGATAAAAATAAAATGACTTAAAATAAATTAATAACAAAAAAAAGTTTCAAAATATAATTCCGTGTCACAATATTAAAAAGGATTTTATTTACGAAATTATGAATAAAAATACTAACACTATGATTATTGTGTGCATACAGTACCTATGCACAATTTTTACCAAATAGGAATGTAAATATTTTTTGGATTAGCGAAATTTACGAATTAGCACCATGTCAAAGGGGATATTGGACATAAGGAAAGAGAAAAAATAAAACATTTTTTTAATGATATAGCAAGCCACGGTCTGCAATACTACTGAAATTTCTATCAGCCAGGATCTGCAGTGGATATGACCATAAAAACTAAAAAGGTATAAGACGAAAGATATGGCATACTACGATATTCTGAGCAACGACTAGTAATATGAAAGTAACAAATTAAATATAATACTCCACATAAAATACATCGAAACAATTTCTTCCACACAACAACAGACACAGCAGTTAAATTTATCAAAACAATACTTAAACAGTAAGAACATTTTATATTCTATTCATTGAATTTCATAACGACGACATTCATTACAAAGTCTATCAAGTAACTTCAATAATGTTATTGTTAGCACCTAAACAGAAACGTTCAGTTGATGTTCCTAGAATATGCAATGGATGTCTGCCGGAGATATTTCCATATTATTCATGCAGTTTGAATATTCATTCAGTATAGGTTGACCTGCCATTAATTGTTACAGCTCAAACTGTTAGCATGAGACACACTGGTGATAAAATTGACCAGCTCGGTTTTGGTGGGATTTTTATTAATTCTTCTTTTATGACTTAGTGTGACATTGAGGCAGGCAAATCTGCTGGTAATGGCATTACCAATGCATTGCCCGGCTTTTGAAGCTTGTCAGAGCCTTGATGATTAGGGATTACTGATGGAGCAAGGAATAGGTCTACAATAACATAACTTACAGGGCGAAACACAACGTGATTGCGGTTTCTCGTTGCGAGCTTTGGTGCAGTTAGTCAGTTCACCATGATTTCATCACGCCGGTTAAGCTGAATCTAAATCTCATTCATGCTAAACCATGGCTTTCACACTTTCTAAGTTATGATTCTATTATAAACTAGCTACTCTCGCGCGGTTCCATTTGATCGTAGCGTGATGTTTTATAGCCTATAGCACTCAGGAACATTGTAGCTATCTATCAATGAAAGAATTTTGGCAATCCGACCAGCGGTTCCTTAGGTTACTCCCTACATACAAACTTACAAATTTTACCTCTATAATATTAGTATAGATATAGATTAACGTCACTATTGATACTATTTGTGGTTGGTTAATGTTGGTGGTTAGTTTGGGGCATATATGTACCTACTAAAGTAGTTACTTAAACTTGATTTTGTTTCTGGGATAGGAAGAGAAACGAGCAGAGGGATCAGCTGATGATAAAACACAGTTACAGTTCCGATGCCAGCTTTTTTGATACAATTTTCTGCTATGTCATTGTTATGAGTTATTTTCATTTGACATTATCTAAGGTGTTACAGACGGGGCCTTATAGGGCTGATGTTCAGCCGGGGTTGCGGGGTAAGCGCAATGAGGCACCGCAAACTCTCACAAACGAGAAGGAACATGGGGTTTTTAGTCTGACACTCCCTCCAGCCCGGCCATAGGCGGGAGAAGAGATTTGATAATTTTCCCCTCACAAAAAAAAAGGTGTTACGTTAACCTCTTCCGAGCAAGTTGGTAGGAATCCTCCTCTGAACAGTTTTTCATTGTATCCCAACCATGTTTTATGGATGGGACCTTCAATTTGTGAAGCTCATCGTGTTTTATTGCAAGACCCAGAGTGTGAATATTGATTTTTGGGTCAACACCTTCACTTTGTATCATTTGTTTGGTTTTATGATGGTGAATTTTATTTCTATGCTGTTCGGCCGTAACTAATATGGTTGGCGATAAAATGACTAGTATTGTTTCGCTATGTGCTTGCTATATTATTATGCATTAGTTATGTCTATGAAGCTGGCCATTTATGTCAGTTGTTTGTTTGTCTTACTGCCTGTAGTTTTCGTAATGGCTAATGACTGCCGATAAATTATTATTTTATTAAAACTCTTCGATAAAATTCGACTTACCAAGATAGTAAAAATTCTTCACAATCTAACTACATAAACCCTCAAATAAAAGTTTGGAGTTAATATAAAACCACACAAAGTGTCCCGTGCGGGAATCCAACCCGCGACACGTTGCTTGGCAGCCAGTTGCCCAGCCACCACGCCAACTATACAATCAAAACATAGTAGATACGATTTATTTTATTCACTTTTAAGACAGTTGTCTCTCTCATAATTTCTTACATATATGTAAAATCCTTGTTTTTCTACAGACACAAGGGAGACGGGATTCGTGAATGCGATCACGGCCGCTGGCGTCACGTACTCCATTACCAGAGCGTGCACGGCAGGATCTCTGCTAGAATGTTCTTGTGAAAAGGTATGACATTTTATTTAACTATTGACTTCTACCACTGATCGTATTTCTTGTTTTGTTACGTATCTTTATTCGGTTTCCGTACCTACCAAATTACCCACTAAACTCTTTTTTGGGAAATGGCTATATCAGGGATTTTACGACATCACTATGGAACCTAGGGATATTAAGGAAACCCGGGTTTTTGATGGGGCGTCGTTCTCGTTCGTCGTTCGTCGTTAATCGTTAATTAACTTCTCTCACCTAGGTTGAGCCGAGAGGTAGTGTTAGAGTCTTACTAATTAAAACCACCATCTTCTTTCTCCTGCTCCAGGCCGAGGCTGCGGAATGCAGTAGTAGTTTGGTAGATACATATTATGTTCAAATCGCTTTTGATTGTTAATTCCTTGTAGCAGTACTATGTGAACTTTTCGGTTTTCCAAAAAATATTTTCACGACATTTCACAGAGTCGGAAGTTGTACCTAGTATATGATAATATGGCTAACTCCCAACTCAATGGGACTTACAACATTACTGGTGGTTGTACTTTGTGTATCTGCCATTATGACGTGTACTTCATTCGGATAAAAGGCGTGATGGTAATAAAACGAACTCTGCCAGGATTTCGGGATATTCCTGGGGTTTTAGCGAAATTCCTGAAAAATATCATTTTACTGCAACATACATATAGGTACAGAAAGCACTAAGCCTCTAACTTCAATTGTCCAAAATTAAAAATTGACTCAAAGACTTCATATGGGCTATGACGACTTTGAGTCTCTTATCTCATATCACTTCATGCTATTTATGCATTGATACTAACTACAAAACTCCTAAAATCTCCTTTTTTTATTCAGGGAGCACCAAAACCACGTCGTGGACGCGAATCAGTAACGCTCCCCCCTTCCCAAGTGCCAACAGAGAGGTGGCAATGGGGGGGATGCAGCGACAATGTACGCTTCGGGCTCAAGAAGTCCAGAGAATTCATGGATAGCCGTTATAGAAAACGAAGTGATATCAAAACACTCATCAAACTGCATAACCATAATGCTGGGAGGTTGGTTAGTAATCACTTTATTTTGGAAGTCAAACAGATCATCAAATTGACTAAAATTAATAATCACCAAAATTTATAACTTATTTAAGTCCAAAATCTGTGGATCTCTCTTTATTTTGGACCAACTTTACGTCCAAAAGATGAGTCATCAAAAAACGATCTTAATCCTAGGATTTTAGATTTAAATTGATTTTATTCGTTTTGGCCGTATGTAACTTCGGCTTAATTTTAACTTTACCTCGTAAAAAGTCAACAGTTTATTTCATAAAATATTTTACTAAGCCGATATTTTATTTTTTTACTAGGCTGTCAAGAACAATATGAAAATGGAATGTAAATGTCACGGACTGTCCGGCTCGTGCACGCTAAGGACATGCTGGTGGAGAATGCCGACTTTCAGAGAAGTCGGGGACAGATTGCGAGACCGATTCGAAGGTGCTGCTAAGGTAAATTATAATAATTATAGTCGGAAAGAAAAATCACAAGTTCTTACGTACTATTTTGATTTCTAATTTGTCATTTTTACAGGTGATTGCCAGCAATGATGGTGACAGTTTCATGCCAGAAAGTCCAAGTATCAAGAAACCTGGCAAGAAAGACATCATCTACTCTGAAGAGTCCCCAGATTTCTGCTCAGCTAACCTAAAAACTGGTTCTTTAGGCACCATAGGACGTCAGTGTAATATTAGCTCGGCTGGAACCGATAGTTGTGATCAATTATGCTGCAGGAGAGGTTACAAAGAAATATCTGTCAGAGACACTGAAAACTGCAACTGCCAATTCAAATGGTGTTGCGAAGTAATATGTGAAACATGCTACGTTAAAAGAAATATACAAACATGCTTATAATGTGATAGAAGATACAATAAATTTGTTTAATAAGAAAATCTCAATAGTAGTTACTTTATTTATTTCACCCATATTTCTTTATATTTCAATCTGGTTTTTTAATTGGTCATAAAGTCAGACTCTAAATAAAACAACTTCTCTTTTTTCTTCTTCTTTTGAAGCTTATTTCTACCGTTTGTTTTATTTGTTTCATCGTCAATATTTACCGATTCAACAGGTAATGGATCCATGAAATAATCCGTTTCTTTGTCGCTTTCAGGGTCAGGATTATTAGGTGCAGCATTTCCAAGATATTTATAAGATTTCTTCCTAGGTTTAAGTTTGTCTGCTGTGTCTACAAGATTATAGAAGTTACGGTTTTTTTTAAAAAGCTTCTTGCATTCTGGACTTTTTCTCATAGTTTTCTTGACCATATAATTGTAGAGCATTCTCAACTTTTCTATATCAGTTTTAGTCATTTTTGATTTACTTCCTATATTGTCGTCATAATTAACCTGTTAGAAAATACTGTAACTTTAATTTTATTTGATTATGCTTTAGGCAATGTGGCACAGTTTTATAAGCCGAAATGAATCGACATAGAAGGTACTTATCTAGTGAAATTATGTATATAGCCTACTATTGTAGGTACTGACTTAACAAAAGAGACGTCAATCACTTATTGACAAAAATCATTTCCAATGTAAGGTCAGATTCATTAGTACATCTTGCAAACAATAACGTCGATATCCAAAGACTCTGTCTTCTTAGTTATTCTTCTGTCTTAGCATACATTACTTACAATATAGTATACGTTAAAATTTTACCTGAATTTCAATAGTTGCACGTCCATTTTTTGAATGCCTATGAGTATCAAAATGAGAAGCACTTGTAAAGTCGTACTTAACGTCGTGAAACAACCATTCAGTGTCATTTAATTTTTTGAATAAGTATCTTTTCTCTGTAAAGAATATAATAAAAAGTCACCTTAGATTACAAGCAATTTTGAAAAAATAATGGTTCATACTACTGGCACATTTTTGTGATTAGGTATGGGTTTAAAACCTATTTTTGTGGAGAGAATAATTATCGAATGAGTTCTGTAATCAAGAAGACGTAAGGGTGGAACAAGAGGGATTTTGACTTTTTTGACTAAAAACCATCTCATTCCATCTCGTACTCTGGACCGGACATCGGCCCTGGTGGGTCCCATTTGGATTTTTTAGTTTTAAGTAATAATTATCCATTTGTTTACGTATAAAGGAATGTACTACCAGGAATTATGTTTTCTTCAATAACTTTGATATATTTGTCTCGATCCGGTGCATTATGTTGGGCTGGGATTCCAGCTAGTAATAGTAAAGCTTCAGCCAGGTCTCCCCTTATACAATCGTAGCCCATATGCACTAACTAAAAACAAAATAAGAAAAACCTTTTAGTTTGAATACATATTACACCAACAGTCAATTTTGAGTTTCTTTGACAAGCGATTCGTACTAAATGCTTTCCCCTTAATTGAACTTCTTTTTTGTAACATACCGTATCAGCTTACAATCAAAATTGAATTTTTTGAGCTTGTTCGATTTATTAATTCCTTTCGAGGGTACAACTCGAATTTTGAATTAAGGTTGGTTATTGATTTTGGCCGTTCATTAGAATTACCTTGCAATAAAAATTGACTATTGGCTACTTCTAGACAAAAAACACATGAGCTCATATCTGTTTAACTGACCTGCACACCCTTATTAGTGAAGTTGTGGGTTGAATGATCACTACAGCCTAGCTGACCTCGTCGGTTAGAGAAAATCACCCAACGGGTATCACTGTCTTCTGGAGGTGCAGGCAGCTCTTGGAAGCTGAGCGCCGTCCTGCTGTTAATCCAGACTAACACTGCGCGGATCTGATCACGGAGAGCCTTGTCTGTGTAGAAAAAATGAGATAATGCAACTGTAGATTTAGACAAGAGTATCAGTGGAATTCTCTAATGCTATTTATCTAGGTAAATGGGACCGGGATGGTGCTGTCAACAACAATCCTACTAGTCAGTTGATCTGTGGCAACCCACGTCTATACTAATGCTATAAAGAGGTAAAATTTGTTAGTTTGTAAGTTCATATGTAGGAGGTAATCTTTGGAACCGCTGGTCAGATTGCCGAAATTCTTTCACTGATAGATAGCTACCACGTGAGAGTAGCTAGTAGAAGTAAAATCATCAGATAATATGACGCGTCGCACACTACGCAAATTAAGTTTTCTTAGTAACTAATAGTAATAGGAATCCCCGACTCAGTCAGATCAGCAGCACACAAAGCAAGATCCTGAATTATTCGTTTTCATGAATTGAGTTGCCTGTTGCCCATATGTTCGTAGACAAATGTGAGTGGTATTTGTAAAAGACAACAAGTGTGGGGGAGCCATGCTTCGGCACGAATGGGTCGGCTCGACCGGAGTGATACCACGGCCTCACAGAAAACCGGCGTGAAACAACCACAGCGTTGTGTTTCGCCGTGTGAGTGAGGTTACCGGAGGCCCAATCCTTTCTCTCCCCCGATTCCTCCCAATCCCTTAATCTCCAAACCCTAATCCCTAAGAGGTCGGCAACGCACTCGTAACTCCTCCGTTGCGGGTGTTCATGGGCGGCGCTGATTGCTTACCATCAGCTCGTTTGCCGATCTATTACATAAAAAATACCTTGATAATTTGATGCTCTTATGATAGCCAGATGGCCGGGTTTTGTGGGATTGAGCCCGAATTTTACATGACCCATGTGAAGTAAATTTAATTAACTGTCTTCGAATAATAAAAAATATATTTTATATTATAGTTTTAATAGTACAACTGCAAAAACTGCTTTGTAAATCAATGACTAGAAGTAATCTATACTTCTATACTAATATAATAAAGAGGTAAAATTTGTAAGTGTGTAAGTTTGTATGTAGGAGGTGATCTTTGGAAACGCTGGTCGGTTTGCCAAAATTCTTTCACTGATGATGACTACAATGTTCGTGAGGCTAACCTATAGGCTATAAAACATCACGCTACGATAAAATGGAGAAACTGCGCGAGCAGCGGGTAAAACTGCGCGAGAATAGCTAGTTAAGAATATGGCAATATTTTTGTCAACTAATATTTCTGAGTAATTCTTACTTAGTTTTGTCTTGAACCGCCAACCAAAATGAGTTTATTCGTCGCCCCAGAAATATTCAGTTTCTGGTAACATTAGTTAATTTTCGATACTAGTGCGCTATGGTAGAGAATATTATGAGAGAATTTGCATTTATGCAAGAGTGAAAAACCTGTATAACTTAACATGTACGTAAAGTAAGGTATTTAGGTATGTCTATGTGTTAACAACCTTAATAAAAAAAAGTCCTTAATAAAAATTGATATAAATATATCTGCCCATCACTGTGCAATTGCCAATAATTGGTATTTAAAATGCCCCTTACCGCTAAAAGAAACAACATCAATGTAATAAGGAATGACGCCTCCACGCCATATTTTAAACTTATCGATTTCATCTTCTGTCAGATCAAAACCTGGTTCATCATTATTTAAAAATTCAACTTCATCATCTTCACCCAATTGCATTATTTTAGTCAAATCTGTCCTTCGTAAAGAAGAGTCAGTTCCTCCAGATTTTCTGACAGCATGATAGTATTCCTGCTGTTTTCCAATGGAAGCCGTAGTTTGGATGCCTTTAAAAATGTTGTGAGTATTCATAATAAATTATTCAAAATGGAAAAAGATTTAATTTAAATCTATGTACAGGTGGCTCAAAGGCTAAGGGACCCACTTCTTATGCAAGAAGGGGTAAGTTCGAAACCTGGCAAGTACCATGTGACTTTTTCCAAGTATTATGTACTTTCTAAGTTTATTAAGACACCACAGAAATACGGTGTCGTAAACCTGAACTTATAATTTCTAATTATAAGTTGGAAATCGCCAATATGTCTTAAGCATGTGTGGTGATAAATGCTCAAACAATCTCCGTGTAAGAAAAGGCATTTGCTTAGCAGTAAGCACTTATGTATAGGCTAATGTTGTTGAAACAAGATTTGAATGTATATTAGTATTAACGTTTATACGGGGATTTCCGAAAACACCAAATAAACTATTGCCTGACTAGGAAATTAAGCCCGAGACTGCTTCCTAGGATTTTCAGTCATTTATTTCTCAGAATAAATTGAATATCAACTTACCGCTTGGATATATCAAAAATAGTAGGAAAAGTGAAACAGAACATCTCAGTAACAATTGTAAAGTCATACTTATGGATATAAAAATAAATATTATTTACTACAATTGATTTTATTGTGAAAATCAAATACAGCACTCTGATAAGCATTATTTCTTGATATTTTACGATCAATTCAATAAATTGACATTTCTTTTTTTGCTATAAATAATTTATGTAATACCAGTGGTAGCAAGTGGTATTTCTCGCAGTTACTATCGAGACGTGACGTCCTAGACAATAAATAAGGAATGCAAATCAAGGCAGTAAAAAAATATTTGAATGAGCCCATGACAGGTACAGTGAAACCAACCCTTTTCAATGAGCCTGATGAACGTGATCATCCTGCCTGCCCCATGTTAGTGTACTTAAAACAAAATGACCCAGATACCACCACCATCAGAGAAATATCATTCACACGGCCGAAATCCGTTTTGCATGAAAAATTATTCACGCTATTTCAGATTCAGCCGCGCCGTCCGTATCTCTTATGACAGATTTCTCTACTCATAAACATAAATTTTCCAGCGGGGCCGATACTCGTGGGAACCCACCTCAGGGCTCTCGCGACCACCAACACTCAACGACTTTTCACTTTCTTAACACACAACCAACCGAAATCAAACCCTGAAACCCAGTACTTAGAGTTCAATATCGGCGTACCGCCGGTCGTACCTAGAAAATAAAGCTGTTTCAGAAAATTGCACGCTATCAAAACTACAACGGTTGCGTTTGCAATAAAACAAAATGGCGATGGCTGCAGGGTTGGCATTTCTTTTGTGCTGATGAAAGTTCATTTACAACAACAATGATAATGTTATTACTGTTTTAACACAACTATTGTTTGCAGACAGTTTCGTTGAAGAAACTTTGCTGTATATTACTTCAGTACTTCATAGGATGTAGGGGATCTTTCAAATGCTAAGCCCACTTGTAACGTACGGCATGATTTTGTAATAAATCAAATTGTCTGGCAAAGGAATTACTGATACAAATCCCGTCCATTAGTACTAAAGGAATGAGGAACATAGACAGCCCTATGTGACAGTTGCATAAATAAATGCGCGCGCATAAATTTCAAAATAAGAACATCGTTTATCGAAGACTATCGAGGAGACATCTTTGGGGATGTATTAATGTTATATATTGAAATTAATGCTTTTAACATGGAGTTCCTTTATAAAAGGAGTGAGGGAGATGGAAGACAAACTGAAGAGACTTTACCTTTAAAAATATGTTCTGTTTTTAATTAGCATTCATGGTACGACATTAGGGTTATCATCAAAAGTATTAGAGTTGGTTTAGTTGCCCTCAACTAGTTAGTTGCGCAACCAAGTGGACACACATCATCAACGCTGCTGCTGGCCCATATTTTTCCGATGTGTAGACCTCATCGCGTTCTAAGATTCTATAATGTACTTCAACATACCAAACAGCATACATAACTCCATACAGTTTTTTGTATGAGCTTTACGTATATTTTGTTCGAAATTACCTTATGTTTAAGTGATCGACATGTTGATGACGTTTGATGCTCTGATTGGCTTGCTGCAAGAAAATCAACCAATCATAGGGCTAAACGCGGTAATGTTTCGATCACTTTGTCGTACAACTTAACTTGTTAGACAGTCCTGGTCGTACCAAAATGTTGACTTAATGAAATATGTTTCTGAAAATAGGACGAAGCAGTTTTTGAGACAGTACCTGTTGCAATATACCGTTTATATTGTGTTATGTACAATGATATTACCTATAAGTAAAAAGGTGTAGATATCCAGGTTACAAGGGCTCAGCTATACATTAAAATGTGGCTAGCTAGCCAAACTTTTTTCACATTTGTCTCTTTTTCACTCGCGATTATTGAATCATGCCATCTCACTTTGACGTCTAAACAAACGAATTGTTCATGTGCGTATCAGTGTGTCGTTTTTGAAAATCGAATTTTGTTAAGTAAACCTATCTACACCATTACTTATAATTTAATTGGTTATGTATATTATTGAAGTGAAATGAATAAAATGTTTTATGGTTCTATATTCAAACTATGCAATGGCAATAAAAAACATGTCCTCACTAAGCGAAGGTTGTATATCGACATTTTACGTTATGAAAAAGAAATACCTTGACTTGGCGCAGGAGAAGGAGTGAGCAAGAGAGAGTGGCAGACATGTATTGTGATTCCCCCCATCTCAAAGAATTGTTAAATTTGGGTTAACTGTCGTAAATTTTAGATAAATAAAAAAAACTACAAAAATCACTGCAACTAACTATCCAGTACAAAATGGCCTCTTTTTGTATGATATTTCCGCACATTCAACGGTCAGTTTATATTGGCTTCAAGTACGGCGTGTAGCAATGAGTAGGAAAAAAATGAAAAAAAAAACATCTTATTCAAATTTTTTGATCAATTTAATATTTTTAGTAACAACTAATCAATATTTTAATTATAAATAGATACTGCTAATGTACAACCAATATTATAATAATTGTGTCAACCCCCAAAAAGCGGTCACTGGACGAAATATATTTCAAAAGGTACTTTTATTATTATACAAATAATAAGATTTGAGATTCAGATAAGTTCAGCTGATTTCAGTATGTATTTTTACCTAATATTAACAATTTAAAATGCTACATTCACATAAATAACTTAAATTATTAATTGTATTAAGACAATAATATTTACATGCGTAAAAAACGATTAATTTTTACAATGACATTAATTCGATTAAGCTGATTTATAATTTTGTTTAAAAACTGCTTCAACTGTCAGGTTTAAAAAAATGTTAAAAAAGGAATGGCACCAAATCGATTTTTGAAATTCATAACTGTTTCTTTTAAATTACGTTAAAATACTTTTTTATCACAATAGCTATCATGCTAAAATTTAATACAATGGCTTTGAAAAATCCAGTCATGGATATTACATCTAGGAAAATTATTAAAAAAAAATACTTCAGTCTTTTAAATCCGATGCGGTATCAGTTCCTCAGACTCTGTCATTGAATTTCGAAACATTTTTTTAAAAAGTTACCTATGTACAGAGATCCGATTTATTAAGCGTTTTTTTTTATTTAACAATACATCGATAAGTACTCAAATACCTGTTTTAAATAATACCGATTGTTTTAACATCGGATTTTTTACTAAAACTAACACGTTATTTTACTTTAAAACTTTAAAACAATTTTAAAGTAAAATAAAATAAATTAAAACATGTTTTAATAAATATTTTTTTATAAAAAAAAACATACTTGACGAGTTAGTATGCTTAGCGCATTATTATACACAATTTAAGCTCAGTAGGATTAGACTACCTATATATACCTACTTACTGGCTATACTATGTATATATCACATATGAAATATCATTCAAGTTGATATAATTACTTGCATGATCAATAAAGCTTCCTCATTTATTGGCAAACTACCGAATTTGGAATGTCAAAACTTATTGTCATCGAAAATGGGAAAAGGCAGATTTTGTCAAAAGTGTGTCAAAGATAATTCTGGAAATGAATCCAAGTTGGTTAGTCCAAATAGGAGATGAGTTGTAAGATTTTGAATAGAAACTCGCCAAGTGAACAGTTCGCTGTACAATCCTGTCTAATTACAAACACAATGTTAAAAAAACGTTAAAAATTAACGTTGATATTGGAGCACATGCATATACACAAAGAGCGGTTGAAGAGACGAGCATAGTTTATAACGAGTCAGCCTGGTTCGCGTGCGACACTATCTGCATGTATCAGACGCAACACGCATACAATATTATACGTATAATACTGATTATTTAATTCGTTTAATATTTAATTAAAATTCTCCAAAGCGTTTATCTCGTAATGTGGGACACTTTTACGACGGCGCTACTTACTGACTGATAAGCCCAACGCTACCTCCGCCGCTGAACACCCAAGAAGACACTTTATGCAAATGCCATTAAGCCACAAATTCCATTAGCCGGTTTAATTATAATATGAAATTATAATTACAAGATAATTTCGCTGTTGAATCTCAAAACAGTTATGCGAGCATGCACCCAACGCGGACGTCCATAAAATAGAAAGTATTTATAAAACTCAAATGATTATTACCGCTGTTTTAATAATTGCAAATAACTTCTCTGAAAAACTTGAATATTAACTTTGGAATGATATTAAGTAATATCATATAAAGTCTGGTACGAAATGTCAGTTCGCGTACGCGTCTCCTTGGGATGTCCAGCCGAGTATGTACGATACCTACGAATAAATAAATTACACAGCTGACCGCGTAAGGAAACCAATAAGTCCAATTTAGAATAAATACAAAATGAGCCGATGATAGAAATAAATCGTCTGTAAACTGGTCTCATTAATTTCCGAACGACAGTGTCCAAAAAAAATAAAGTTACTAGATCACATGTTCGCACTTAATAGTCAAATAAATTAACCGAACGAGTAGCTTACTTTAATTTTACGCCGGATCAATTATCATGTATAAAAGAAGAAATAAACAGTGATAGAGAAACTATTTACATAAGTCAACATGATATACGATTTCGACGACTTGGATAGATGAAAAAGTGAAGTGATTATATACAAGGTCCGTTATCTACCTCCGAATGAGAAAACAGGTCCACTCTCGAGTCTGAGTCACAATCACATCTGTTCCACACTAAAGTTTCTCTCATTGATCACTTCGTCATCAGCGACCGCGAGTCTATAAACACGTGTGTACCACTTTTTCCGTTGGACAGAGCTTGCACTTCACTTCGCAGCACCAGTGGAAGGTGCAGTTACACCGTTCCACCACGTACATTGTCTCCGTCCGGTACCCTCGGCCGCAGCACATGAGGTCGCAGCCATCCACGCCGATACTCGTGTCGTTGCAGGCACGCCCGTGTGTACCGGGGATGCCTAGTCTTGGGTTCTTTTCGCAGAAACCAGGCGATGATTCTAAGTAAACCAAGTCTTTGGCCCCGGGTGACTTGTGGTCTGGATTGTGAGGCCGCAGTTGGAATCGATATCTGTCTCTCCGTGGCACCCTGTGCGGCGCCGCATCATTCCGCTGCGCTGGTGATTCTAGGTCAGTGTTAGGCATCATGACTCGCGATGCGCCGTCGAAGCGGTCCTTCAGCGAATCGCCCACAGAGCGAAAGCTGGGCAGCCTCATCCAGCAAGTCTTGACGGTGCACGAGCCAGACATGCCGTGACACTTGCATTCCTGCCGCATCTCCGTTTGCACATGCTGCGAACAAAACAACGCAATCAATATCTCATACGTTAATTTATTCTATCATGGGGAGGTCTATAATGATGTCCAAATATCTTTAAATTCCACCGATAAGCTTCGATACAGTGTGATCGATGATCTTTTAAGCGTGCTCCATCGATCGCATCTCACGATCGAGCAAATTGTTACAAATCGTGAAGAGGTGGGCCGGTCGTCACCGCGCGTGGACCGATCATAAATCATACTCTAGGGACATTCATCATTCTTAGAAGGTAGATAAATGACGCGAGGATGGGAGACAGTAAATATTTTCCTATCTCGGAGCGCAGGCGCTTCGTAGAACGTAGACGACGGTATTTATTCATTGACATGTAGATGGCCGCGTATGTCATACAGCCTAGTGTCCAAATATGTGTTAAACAATCGATGGAATGCTGTGAATATTCATCAGCTGGACACCCAGTGCGTCTGTCGTGACAGGAATTAAGCGCTTTGGTTAATGACGCGTCTGGGTGGCTCGGGGCGCCTGACGTCCCTTTTTGATGAATTTTGGGCAGGAGCGGACTGTGGATATGCAAATGTGGGTGTGTGGTGGGAGGGAGATGCGCGAGCGCAACGAATGAGTGCTGGTTGCGCAGTCGTCGCGCGCTGGGCCGCGCCGCCCGACGCATAATTAATATTACACAACGCGACATGTCAAGTGGCTGGCGATCGATCGTCATCCATAATGGTAATGTAAACATGGCGCGATGACAATGGCCGTCATTGGTGATAATGATTGTTTTATGGATGTTTATAAGGTGCTACCGTCGAGTAGCGATTGGATAAGCATATTGACAGGAGTGTTCGACACTTACCGCTCGTCCAGCCTCGTTGTTGTGTAGGTTCATTTTTTCTCTCAGGGTTTTGCCTCTTTCTCCGGTGTCGACAAATTCACGGCTGAATCTGAAGCCGAAGCCAATGTTGTCACTGCAACCACCCCACTTCCAGACGCGGACATTGGAGGCGGCAGCGGCGCGGGTTCGATGCGGTACGCGGTCGATATGCGAATAATCACACGTGCATGATTCTATGGAGCCTTCTGCGCACGCGCGTGCCACCGCATGCGTCACTCCTGCGCTAGTGATCGCATAGATGAACGCTGTTTCGCGGCAACCTGGTGACAATAGAAATGAATTCATTAATTTATGCTAATGTATTAAGAAAGGAAAAGTGGTTATGCAACCTACTTAAAATTGTTGAAATATCTAAAAAGCTATAATAGATTTGGGACGTGGGAAAAGAGGTGACATAAAGGCTATCTAGATTATCGTTTAGATTAAATCCGCTGATTAAAAAAAGCACGTGTAGGTATACTACGTTATTAAGTTGGCAGTTACACATATTTCACTTTGGCATGTTTGGTATTCGTATAATTAATTCATCCCAACTGCGGAGGGGTCCATATTTTAATCAAATTTTATTATTGCTCCGGGTATGGGGATAAAAAATCTCAACGTTTTAAAATATTTTAGGTATTATAATTTAAACACGCAAAACATTTGGGTTCATCAAGCAACTGCAATCCGAGGGATTGAATTGGCTTTGCTCTTTTTAATCGTATCATTTTATTGACATTTTTAATTTGTTGACAGTATCAAAATCCTTTTCGAGAGCAATGGGCACATTAGTTTTTTAATTTCCTTCGTAAAATTCTATCTCAAGTTTCGACCTGTCCGCGCGTTTTTATTCGTCATAATATATGTGCGAGGCTCTGACGATATTAATTCCAAATGATACATTCCTTAATGGGGCGAGAGGAGTAATCAAGGTAAACTGAATATAAAGTATAATTACTGTGTTTAGAGTTTTCAAGTGAGGTTATAATCGTTTAAAGCAACAAGATCATTAAGTTTATATTCACACAATAAAGACTTGAGCAATGATTGCATCGCGTTCATTCATCCCGAACGGACGAATACATAAATCGATGCTTGCATCCCGTATCGAATACTATAAATAATTAATGGCCCGGCATTAGAATCAAATACTCATAAAATACAATTAAAAGAGAGAGAGGGTATATCTCTGAGATTGAAAATAAAAGAACTGCCTCTTACCTACCCGGGAGATTATAAATTTGATCATTACAAGTGGTACGGCGCGCGCATCGAATTCTCTCTCTTAATATCGATTTAATGGCCCTTGTACTTTTAACGATTAATACCATACCGAGCCTTTGTCTACGCGATCTCGGCTCCACATTGAGACGATATTATTAACCGCACCGGGACCTCGTGACGTAATCCGTCCCCCATACGACATAATTAAAATATCGATTATAACTTTTAATGATTCATAACAACCAGAACATGATTTCGGAGGAAGACCATGCCTTGACCATCAAGTCCTGAATGTATCTCGTAGACTTTGTAATTTTACGGCATAATGCGGATTAATGCGGCTATTGTTGAGCCCTCATTAAACTCTCGTCCTGAACGCATCCAAGGTTATGACGGAATTCCTCAAAAGCTGTTAAGGGCTGATCTCGATCGCTAAATGCCTGAATGAAAATAAAACTGACAATTAACGCCGTTCTAACACAAGTGTAATCGCGTGTCACCTCGCCGGCTAATGCCATTCATTTAGTAATATAGTGAGGCTCGCGCGCTTCTTTGGTGGGCTTCCGGCCACCGACGCACCACTATAAAATCCCTTCGGAAAAAACTCACCGACCCCGTATGGATGTAAAAATAATAAGGAACGCGTATTTGTTGTTATTTATAATAATAATATGTGGAACGGGCCCGGAGCAGGCCGCGCCATCTTTATTAAGGACTCAATAAGCAAATGAAATCATTTTTTTATTGAGTTGTCATCGTGCACCGATATAAATTACGGTGCGCACACACTGCCGCGGTCCGCTCTCGGATTCGCTTTTTGTGCTTCCCTTTGGGATGTTATACAAAAGTATTTTATTCAGCAATTACTTGAGACGTTCGACCGGGAATTTTAATGTCAATTTCGCCATCATTCAATGCTCGGACGAAATTAATTCAAGGTACGTAAGGATACGTACATACGAGCAGTCGCGGACTCGTGCATTTATCTTCTGTAATGACTTGGAAACGTTCGGTCGTATTAACTATAACGTATAGGTGAGGCCAATTAAATATGGCACACGTAAATAATGCTCGGGGAATTATAGCTTTCGGCTAATCGAGTTTAACATTTAGATGTGCTATGTGTACTAGGGGTGAGCTGCGGATGGATGGTTCGCGAGGTTAATGCTTGAGTTTTATGGTTGGGTTATAAATCGGAGGCTTCACGGATATCTGTTTTAGTGCGTTACGAGTGAGCGAAGTTGGAGGTCGTGCGGCGGGGTGCCACCGGGCGGCGGCCAGCACGGGCAGGTGCTCGCACCACGTGCTGCGAACACGTCTTCATAACCCGTAGATAAATGTCGCCACATCTGGCCACCACAGATGTGAATGACTGCCCGCTGTGATTTTAACATCGCTACTTTTACTTTATCTCCGACATGATCTAACGGTACGCGGCTACCCGACCAATTAGATACATAAACGACAACTGGAAATAATTTTTAATTGGTCTGTGAGAATTTAAGGCTCGTCTATTGATGATTCACGGCCGTGCCTCGACCTGTTTGACATTGTACAGTAGTGATGCTTTGTTCTGCATTAAACATAAGTACCAATTTATATAACTATAAATAAATTGTTTCAATATTTCATCGTGGTGTGTGCGACGAGCAACAAAGCCGTTTGTCGCGTTTTGCGAATAAATCGCGACGTAGAAAAATTATGACAGATGTAAAAAGGCTTCGGCTGCGTGTGCGCATTAGTCACGGTATTAATATAATGTAAATTCCCGACACGAGCCTAATTAAACGACCAAACAACGCTAATCCGAGGCGGGCGCTGCAACTTCTACAAATAGCCATCCGTTGCCTGGCCCTGCGCTCGTGTATGCCTACGCAATAAAATAATCATAATTAAGGTGCGTTATTATTTTATTGAGGCAATTTCGCCCCATCAAATTGCAGTCAAATAAGAACAAACATGAGTAATGTGGATCTATAAAAGTAAATTATTATTATAACTGATAATAAAGTGCTGTCTGTGGATTATCTGTGCAGATAATAAATGGTCCCGTGGTGGGTTTACAGCGCGCGCACCAAGCGATAATGCCGTCTCGACGGATTGCCAGTTAAGGCGAGGCGTTGAGAATTTATAAAAGTCAAAAACTCGTAAATCCGAGTGCGAGTCCGCCGCATCGCACTGTTAAAATAAAACTTAATCACTGTTGACATTTGACGAACACCTGGCCCCGCGGCCACTGCCATTAAATAATTCTAAATTAATGTACTAATTAAATATGTTCCTGTGTTTTTATAATAACTATCGTGAGACATACTAAATTAACTAAAATTCGCGGGTTACTCACGTGTAAATGATGAGAAAAGCTCATGAGCAGCGTGCGCGGACGCGGCGACGTCGCGCGTCCGCGCACGCTGCTCATGAGGAAGAACCCCTCTGTGGTTCGAAACTAGTAGAGCTTTTCTCATCATTTACACGTGAGTAACCCGCGAATTTTAGTTAATTTAAATATGTTCCTGTCCGCATTGAGTCATCACGCTGGGGTGATTCCATAAGATTAATTTGAAAGATTGACTTATAAAGGTTTCGCGTCGCGCCTCTCCAGCCTTATTTATGACGACTTGCATTATTCAAATTTGATGAGACGTAATTACTCAAAACATCCATAAATCACTCGGTTTTATAATACGGTGTTTGGCCGGTTTAGAAATCGTTCCGGCTAACACTGCTTTATAGGACTGCGATGAAGTCATTGATGTCGTATTATTTGTATCTAAACACGTCTTTTACGAGAATATAATGATATTTTATCTACTGAATAACGAACTAGAGAGTTTACAAAAGAGGAGATTCTTCTCTTAATGAAATAAGAATGGAATTTGATGCGTACTGGCCGACGAATAGAAGCAAAGAAGGCAATTTCGCCGTAAAGGCACTTGGAAGATGGGGCAATAAAAAGCAATAATTCATTTTCGTTATGCCATGTATGGGTGATAATTTCACATTGAGTCCGCGTCCCGAGACTCCGGTGCGACAATTCAAAATTACGTCGGTCGTATATCACTCATTGTGAGTGGCACAAAGCGCTCCCAGCTACCACTAGCTACCAGCGCACAGCGCAGCATCGCAACACCCATTCACACAATGGACAAAGACATTTGTTTTCAAACTAAGAAAAAAGTACCGAAAATAATTTCGTTTTAAGTGAGCTGTCCATAAACAATAAAAGATCGGAGTGTTCGAAACTGGGAACCCGTCGATAAATATGATCTCGGCTGCCTCCGTCAGTGGCCGTCGAGTCAGCTCCTTAATCGCCTCATTTCAGTTTCACAAAATGCGCGTTATCTCGAAAACAATTCAAACGCCACAAAACCCAAAACGCTTATCTAATTGAGCATTAAATATTTCGTCGAGGGCATTTTATATCGGCTTTATTTTCGATGTCGATCGTTTTATACGTTTTATCCACCCACGACGTCGGAACCTCGGGTGCGCGTACGATAAACACCAAAACAGGAAATATTTGAAAAAAGGTCGGGTTTTATTGGCCGAGTTACCTGCCATTAGGAGCTGCGTTAGGTGTAAACGTGGCTTCCGTGGGGCTTGTACGAGTGCAGTGGAATCGCTAAACTACACCACAGGGGGCTCGCCGCGGGAACTCGGACCATATATTTTCTATTCTCGGCTCGACAATGACGCGACGAATAAAGGTCTCACTATTGTGCCGTTGTCATCATTTGTGTTAATACTATCCTTGAGGTTTATACCACAATGAGATGAAGTTGTCGCGTCCGAGTGTCAATGGTGTGACAACGTGTAAATTAGTAATTACAGGTGTCGCGTCCAGGGGGTCTTTGTGCGCCCTGCTCGTGATTATGAGAGGACGAAGCTATCCGTTAGCGATTGATGAGTTTCGGGTATTACATTTGCGAGTTTACGTTTTTTGTTTATTGAGTAGCGTTGTGACGGGCTCCCGCGGGGTCGACTCAGTTTTTATGCTTCTTAAATGAACGTAATTGCAATGTATTAAGTTTTTTTATCGTGTGTATTTGCGTCGGTCTGTAATACCGGCGAGCGGCCGCCTCGCATGCCCTTAATAAAGTAATATGCTCTAAATGCACACGCATATAACATAAATTTTGTAATTGACTTGGTCTTTTTATCATGTGGAATTATTACGATGGTGGTCCCCAGCCCGTGCTATATCTGGTTTTTAATTTAGAAAAATGGTACTTTGCTTTTATAGTTTGTATGCTCTCGTACAATATCAATATTTATTTTTTTCTCTAGGCGTTTAGTTTTATGGCTGTCGATGGTAAATACGTGGCTGTGTGCGTAAGAACTATATATCATTTGGATGCGAGCACTAGAATTAAATGATTTAATGTTTTAAATTTATATGAGTGGCTTTATGTCCAGTTGAATTATTAACGGTTACTCATTGTGGTGTAAGCTGACTGGAAAGTGATGTTGTCTAGAGGCTTGTTGGAAGAATTTTCAATGACTTTTGTGTGTAGGAGTGTTGACATTTAAATACCTTAATCGCCAATGAAAACATGAATAACTTTAATTGGTTTTAGAATATAAATAGTTTATTATGAGTGTCTGGTATCGTATTATACGAGTATTGGGTACATCGCCTTAGGCCATGCGACCCGAGCTGACTTTTTTCTTTATGATGAACATTAGCGTTGTGTAAACATGTACCTAATTGCGATTTGTTACCAATTCTGTTTTCATGAATATTTTATAAGTTTAATGGTTTATGACATCTCGTTTTTAATGAGAAAACGTCATTTGTATCAACAATACATTCGTTATGTTCTTTTTGATAGCTGTTTCTATTTAAATTTATTACATTGAAAAACGTATTAAATAGAAGCCAACGATATTTTTAACACTTACGAAATTCAATCAAATTGTGATCAGCAGTTTCGTATGTTTCTTAGAGAGACAGACGGACAAGCATCGTAATACAAAGAGTGTTCCACAAAAAGTTTAACCTTTGGTTCGGCCTTGTTCTTGATTGAATTGAATTAATTAGTACAATCCCATTAATTATGTTATTAATTGTTCATTTATATTAAGCTACTATTGTTATTCTAACTTTAACTAAATCGTATTTAATTGATTTTTTGACCTTCGTCTGGTTATTTTAGTGTGGACTTTTTGTGTTTATACGAGTAGTGTAATTTATCAGATGTCAATTAGTTTACACGAATTGTTATTGAATAAAAATAACAAATATTTTGAGTGAATTTATTTTAAATTACAATTTTTAATTTAGAATGTCATGAATGGTGGTCCCCTAAGGCATATCTTATAAACCGCGTGATATTATAGGTATATCAATAATTTACGACAAACAAGAAGTCCTGTACGAAACGACAAAAGAATCTAAGAGGCCTATTCTCAACTTAATAGACACATAGAAACTGTTTGTTTGTACCAGTAATTAACGTGTTTGAAGTGAGGGTCAATAACCGAAACAGAACGCTCGATATATTGCGTTCGATCCAAATGAAATCAAATTAGCTTCAGATACGGCAGCCATAGCTCTTAATTCTCATGATAACCCCCTAATGCTTGCCCTGAACCCGAAAACCGAAAAAGCTTTTTTGCTTCATTGACGAAACACATATTTGTTAATTCGGTTTTATTTTTAATAATTGTGCCATACGGTTTTGTGGTGCTGTGGTATTTTTGTGCACGTGGCGTATCGATTATAAATAATATGAAATCTTAATCGAATAAATAAAATAATCGGTTCGTTTTCTTCGAAACAAAGAAGATGTAAGAAAAATAAACGAATGATTGTTTTTTTCAATCTAACATTTTCAGATTTCGCTTGTAAACTTAGATATCCGTTCCTGACTACGAAATTTCATCTCTCTGTGCAGATACGATGTTTATTTGAACTAAAAAGATTTGTTGCAAAAAAGTATATTAAAAAGAATGCAAACGACAGTGAATCACAAAGCTGACTTTTTTTGCTATTATAGCGAATAATTCTTGTTGTACCGAACAGATGTTCACAGGCTCATAATAAGGCGTATCGCGTACAAAGCATCGAAATCGGACACCGGAGATAGGGCAGCCCCGATCTGACAACAAAATTACATCTTACCGTTTCCAAACTTGCCCGCCAAACAAATTTCAACTTTAAACACTGTATACAAAGACCACACAAATTTAATGCGACCAGAAAACTCCATAGCGCATTGCGTTTTAAAACATTTTAATTTCGAAGTGTACCTTTATAAATGTAGGTTATTATTTTAAATTGAAAACTAAGTCTTTATACTGTTAAATAAATTTAAAACGGTGTATAAAGTAAGTAAAGATTCTAAAAGGGATTACTCCCAGTAATGTCCCTCGCGTATTCAATACGGTTTTGTAACCAGTATTATAGCTCCACGCTAATGGGTATCTATTTGCTGATTTATATCTATTGATAATAATCTACATCCATTCAAATCAACTAAATGGGATCGACGCTCGCGCAATACGCGACTGCTGTTTATGGAGTATAAAAACATGTTTTTTTCCCAACGCACAATATAGAAGAATCGATGCGGAATCAAAAACGGATTATGATCTCATTCATAAAAAGTGAAATTACATTTTAAATCATCATAAAACGGATTTCGTATGACGATAAAATATAATAATAAAAAAATGGACGTAAAAAATAATTATCGACAAACGGGAACTGAAACGTCACTCGACCTCGTGTAATTGATCCAAGATGTTTTATCTTGATGAGTCTCTTACATGTGCCCCCGCCTCGCTACCCTCCCGGTGAATACAGATAAAATCTTTTAAAAGGGTTGCCAACTAAAGATATCACTTAATTTGTAGCCTCTCTTTGTAACTGGAATTGGGGATTTATTCAAACATCCTTTTTGTACCCCGTTGCTCTTTGCAGGGTTAAAATGTAAAAAGTATAAGTACGATGTAAGGTTTTCAATTTGACTCTTTTAAAGATTAGTCTTTTAAACATCTCAATGCTCTGTAATCTGTTTCCTCAGTATTTTAGAAGGGTATTTAGGGCTTATCTTCTTAAGTTCTTTTTAATGTTTTGTCCTTTTTGTTTTGCGATATCAAAATTGAGACAAATGAATGACGCGTGTGCTAAAAAACGTTTTTGCATTTACGTTTGCTTTTTGTCCGTGAAGGGGACAATAAGATCGTGATTGTAGTATTAACTCGTCAACCTTTGTCACTTGTTTAAATTTAATGTGTGTTGTAGCAGCTTACCTCTGTCCACGATTTTGCCGAACAAGTTCTTCCCTCTCAGGAAGTTCCTTGTGGAGCAGTTCCATCTTGTATATTTGAACTGGTGTTGGCATTCGGCGACAGCCATGCTGGCACCTTTAGCTACTGCTGCTAATACTCCAGGGTTCTCCCTGGCGAGCCTTCTCTGTTTCCGCCTGAGTGTGGCGTGAACTGCCGGGTCCATGTAAAGAACCCCTGGTGAAATCGGTGATAGATTATTTGGCTCCCCCGCTTTGGCTATACCCCTACAACAAAATAGGATTTATTACAAAGACATCCGCAAGAATACGTAATGAAGTGGTCACAAAAACAAATCTCAGTGTCCAAAAGCGATAAGATTGACTTTTGTCACTGTAAAAGACAATGCCTGGCGTTCGAAAAACTTAATAAAGAAAAAAATAAAACAAACACAACCCGAACGCCACTTAAGGCAATGGGTGCAACTCGAAATGAAATGCTCATTTGAAAAGGTAAAGACAACAAACAATTGACGACCGAACTGTCAATCCGCAGACGTTTAGATAAATATTTGCGTCGCGCATTAATCCTTGAGGGCCGAGCGGGTAAACACGGGCTGAGAGCGATCGAGATCACGGCCTGTTGACTCGGCCTCGCTTCACGAACATATTCGGCCTACAGTAAAAAAAAGGCCTCGGTGCACTCTGGCGCGCGGTGCCTCGCGTTTGGACCGCTGGAAATCGTATTACTTTTCTATTTGCTTTTCTTTGTAGTCGAGTGTTACGTAAATATGAACGTGTTCGTCGGAAATTCTCGTTTCCTTCGAGAATTCATGGAGACGATGCCATGGTTTTAAAATTTTTGTTCTACTTTTTAAAATAATAGACAAAGAGATGAAACGGATATAGGAGTTATAGTTAACGCGGTCACCGGCGGTCGAAGCTATGATGACTCAATTCCCCCATAATTTACGTGGGAGCTTCGGTAATAGGTCTGGCGTATTTTGTACATTATATAAACACATTAGCACTTACGATGGCCATATTTATCAAGAGGTTAGTCGTCAACACGTCAAATTATTATACTTCATATTAGCAAGCTAATTTGATTTCATTATAAGACGACCGTCGTTCGAGTTTTATTATCGATAATCTAGTTTTTATATTGTATTTTTATTGAATTAAATATGTATTGACGTAGCTATTAACAACCAGTAAGACATATACCTATTTCATTCACACATTTGTCAAAATGACACTTAATATTTTATAGTGCCTATTCTAAAACTAGGTAATTTCGCTTTAGTTTTTGTCGTCGAAAAACTTAATGGATGCAATTAGACAGCAAAAATTTGTTGGATAATTTGAAAGAAAAAACTGAATCAAGAATTGAATTTTATGTTTGGCAAAAATCAATCTAGTTTCTGTCAGTGTGCAGTGATGTTTTAAGAGCATAAATCTGTACGTAGGTGCTGTAAATTGGGTCCGACTTATACCTATTGACACCCACGAGTGCTTTAAAACAAAAACGAGGGATAAACATATTTGCTTGTCCATAATATAGGGTCCTTTGCACTTGTCACGTTGGTAGAAAATCAAACAGTGCTACAAACTAAAGTCCTCGTGGAAAAAAAACTGAATGGCTTTCACGAACAAACGCGATGTGTGCACAGCGATAAAGCCTGTGTGAATGTCAAAATATTGTCTTTTAGAGGCCTGTGTCTCCATGTTTGAGTAATTAAGATCGTGTCGTCCTGTGCCGTTTTGTTGTATTTCGTCTACAGGTATGTTTTAACCCGTTTTCGATGATAAGTTTTTAGGTTATACATGTATTACTTTTAAGTTATTGAATTTTAGAGCTACTGTCTTTGGAATAAGAGTTAAGAATTGATTAATTTTTCTTGTTTTGTATGTTATAAAGTATAATTTAAATTTATGAAAATAGGCACATAATGATTGAGATAAAGATTACAAGATCAAAGCCATTCTGTATTACCTTAAAACGACTTCCTTGCAATTTGGATTTAGCGACATATGTCTTTAAAATGGAAGTTTTCATTTGTCGTACGCCGCCTGCATACGAATCAGCCCTTTATTATTTAATTTGTTGGCGACTTGCAAGGCGTCAAAATATCAAAGTTAACAACCAATTTAGGTGGACACTCGTGTAACAAGATTTTATATTTGTATAGCGGTCTTGTTACAATGGTTATCGTTATCAGAGGTATCGTGACGTTGGCACGCGATTTCGAGCGTAATGTAATATGGACTACGAGTGGTGAATACGAATGAAGTGAGGTGTGGCGATTTCTTTTTTGCTTGAGGCAGTATACGGGCATTTTATGTGCTCCAGTTGGGGATTAGTGCCCCAGGGTTCAATCGCTGACACCACTGCCACATATTTAAAAAACGGCCTAGTAATTACAACTACGAGAAAGAATCAGTTATATTGATTAACTTATTTTAAACGTACCTACCGTTGTTTGTTTGATTACAATTTTATGATTTATTTTATATTTTATTAAAATTAAAATATCATTTTTATTGTGGTTGAAATAATTTATGACTTAAATAATAATTGAAATAAAATTGGTTAAAATAATTGAGTTTTATTTTATAATGCGAACATTTAAGTAATTTTTGCCTTGTGTCTCGAGTGTTTGTTGGTATATTTTTTAATCTGTCTGCGTTAATAGTGTGGGGTCGTGGGGAATGGAACCGATATACCATCTTCCGGCAGCTGCCAGGAGAACTAAATGTCTCGCTTTATATTTTATAAGTATAAACTTGATAAGATTTATTTAAAGTTAATTTTACTCAATTAATTCACTGTAGGTATACCTAAGACTACCTATATCTGTACAAAAAATAACATTATTAATTGGGGTCTATTAAAGTTTTGAATATCATTACGTCGTCTGAGTTTAGTGATTAATGTTGAAAATAATAAAATAAGTAGACTTGCATGTTTTTTTACAACATTTTGTTCGATTACCAAAAATAATTGTTGCAATAATTATTAGGTTTAATTAATGCTTCAAAAACGTTTGCGTATTTTAATTAAATTGATGAATGAGACTGAAGTGATTGAGTTAATTTAAAAATGAACTTTATTGTTAATTTTGTTCTTAATTTTAAAATAAAAAATTAAAGTTTTAAAATTATATCACTGTAGTGTTTATTTTTAAATAAATTGTGTTATTATTATAACAAAGTAACACTATTAACACAGTTCTCGTAACATTTACGACTGTTTCTGTAGAAAGTGGGTAAAAATTTCGTTGAAAGAATTCACGCCTCCGACGGGCCACAAGAGCGATTGTATCGCAGCAGTTTCATTGCTCTTATACGTGTTTATACGTTAAAATAGAAAGCCTTTTTTGTTTTTAAACAGGATAAAAATACATTCACGATAAAAGATAAAGATAAAGATGAAAATTCACTCAAATTGTGTTAAAATGACTCAAGCTATTAATTATATTAGCAATCATTAAACATATATGAATTAATGTTGCACCTATACTTAATATTTTATTAAAACATTATACCTATAAATATATCTAAGATTGCCATAATAATTGTGTCTAATTGATAAATGTTAATGGATGTTATTAGTTATTTAGATATGACAATCAATTAATATTTATTTACAAATGATCAATAGATTAATTGAAATAAGATTATTTTATATAGATATCTGTATGTAAAAAGCAACAGGATCAGCTGCCGTCGGCGGCAAAATTCAAGCACGATTAGGTACAATTTTAATTTATAAAAAACATCGTAAACTTAAGAGTATGTCCGAAACAAACTTTAAGAAATAATTTCATTTGTAAACTTAAAATAAAAAAGTAAGAAATAGTTTTTTTTTTATTTTGGTTTACTAATAGTGGACTGTCCTACTCATTGGTTACTTTGTGAGTTTACTTTAGGTGACAATGATACTAAAATAAGTTTTTTTGAAGAAAACAATTTAAAGATATAAATTACATAATAATATTAGATATTGTATTCTGTAATTTCTGACGAAAATATAAAATAATTTTCATATAGGTACTACGTACAACAGAGAAAATAATATATCTTTACCTAATAGCAAAGTTTTACGTTGATGTTATTTTTTTATCTTAAATTAATTATACAAACATTAAGTGTATTTGTACAATGCAATAGCACGAGCCACTGTGTGTGTACCTAGTTTAAAACTCTAAGATAAAAACTTTACGCCTATGAATTGCATAGAAGAGAACACGTTTAAATTTAAATACAAAAATATAATTTTATAATTATAATTAAAATTGTAAATATAAACATTACAATTATTAATATTAAAATTTATTAATATAAAATATTAATTTATATTTAATTTAACATTAGAACAGTATCTTGCAATGGTTAAACGCATTCATATTTATGCGATAAAATTAATTGAAACATAACTTATGGAATGATTATAAATACAACATGGTTACATGACAGGCCTAGTACTTACGTAGTTAGTACTAAATATTCTTAGGCTTAATTGATATAACTTCCTTCAATATCTATCATAGACTAAACTAAGTTGTTTAAACTTGACATGTATAACAGAAACCGTTTGTTTGTCTGTACATATAATTTAGGGGAAATACCAATTTGTATTCATGAAGACATAATACATAATGTTTTTTTCCTTGGGGAAGGGGAGGAGGGGAGACAGCATATGACTTCTGTGGTGGTCGAGTAGTTCACTTGGTGGTCGAGTACGTGTTATAGGTAATCTAACTGACTAAAAACCTCCCAGTTCCTTCTAATCCAGGCCGAGGCCTCGGTCCTTTTTGCGCTTTACTCGTAATTCCGGCTGATAATAATGATTATGTAGATGATGAAATAAAGATAATATTGTAACATCCAGCAGAAATAATGTATCAAGCATCATCAGCCTATACGCTCAATGCTGAGCAAAGGCCTTTTCACGCTGAAAACTATTGAACTTTAATCACCACGCGTGCTCAAGGCGGATTGGCGATTTCAAATTAATTTATAATTAGATATTATAAGCCTAAGTTTCGTCGCTATGTTCTTCTTCACCGTTTAAGTTTTATTGAGAAACATATACCTTATGATCGTGGTAATAAAATAAAAATCTGATTTTGGCATACGGCAAGAAGAACTAAAGGCATTCTTACATACAATATTGTTTAAAATAAGTAGCAGCGGTATAGATTTTAAAGAATATACATACATGCATTCAATTTTTCAAAACAATATCATTGTTTCATTACAAAAGGTGCATAATGCCGGTTATTGAAGTATTGTTTGTGCATAAAATATTTGTACATTTTAAAACCCTCGTTTTTAAACCACAAGCATTATGAAGAATGTTTATAGTACCTAACATTTTTAAATACAAGTTTTAACTTTGACAAATCTGGAGCCGTCGGAACTGTTTGTCGAAAATCTTTGTAATTAAAAATGGTTTTATAGAAGTTTGTAACGTATGACAATGTGAAATCAGTATTCATTATTTGTCTGGGTGTCGATTAATTTACATTTAAAAAAGGAACCCGGAATCTTTCCGTGCAAAATATTCCCATGCATTTAAACTTTTATTTATAATTATAAGACCTATTAGCAGGGTATGCTCAATCATTGTGTTTCTATTACATATATAATGTATAAGCAATTTGCACACTACAAATTATATGTTATCTAATTACCTATATTATAAAACAAAAGTATATTTAGGATTTAAGTAAAATGTACGACATTGTAAATTTATAAGTATCGTAAATAAACGTTTACATTTCGGCTGACGCGGATGCGTTTGCGCATTTTCAATATCAACATAATTAATGCTGCCTTTGATACATTGCTAATTGGCGCAGTATTTATGTGAGGTTGCCTTATAATGTTTACACTAAATTAATGAGTTCCGACGGCTTTTAAAACAATATGGGATAAATATTGCGTTTTAATACCTACTCTTTATTTTTATGTGTTTATTTTATTATTTTAACTCTTGTTATAAGACATAAATTTATATTTAAATATATATTTAATAAAAAAAATATTATTTATTTCTAATAAAAAATGTTATTTATGCGACGGAGATCTTAAGTTGTAGTAAAATTTATTAAATGTTTTAGCACCGTCGCTTTCACACCTTCAAACATCAATCATATAATTATACCTACTATGTAGGTAAGTAGGTATGTATCATAAGTATAGATTAACTATCACCAGCTATGAGTTAAGATGAATGACTTAAGAAGTAGGTGTGAAATAATACGACCTTTGAGCTCTCTCGTAAGATTGACAAATTAAATATAAATACGAAGAAATATATTGTCAACGCAATTTAAACCGTAATGTATTGGAATCTTGACTAATATCCATTAATTTATTCATTTCTATTATAAAGACTTTGACGCGAATTTATATTTCAATCATCATTATCATAATTTTTATTGATCGGTTTTTTTTTCTCTCTAATTTACGTCATCGTGCCTAATAATTATTAAGAACTTAAGTAAATGGGACACTTTTGTTTATACATTTTTTATATCTTATCCATAACAGTCACTTTTAAAAGACTTTAAAATGTCATTTAAATTTAAAAAATGCCTATTCTATAACATTTATAAGTCTACTCAAAGGGATTAGGTGGGACGCATACCAGGAGCTCTGTGATAGTGTATGCAAATAGCACTTGATGCCCCTGTCAGTCAAACAGAACGCAACGAGAGATGTTTTGTCACCAACAAAATGAAATTTAACAGCTGATGGCAAAAAAGCTGTTGAAATGTAATATATTTGTTCAACGCGTGTTACTGTGTCATGCCCATATTAAAGGTATGTGTGGGCTGTCATACGTGGTTTGACTGTCAATGAGCAACTTAGGTACCACATTAGTCACTAGATATTAAACACAGACGGACAAACGACTTGAAAAGTCATATTTAATCTTCATAACATATAAAGTGTTTCTCACTTGACATTTATCATTATAATTGTAATCAGATTTTATCACGTACTTTTTCAAGTCGAAAGTTTATGTTAGTTGTGTCAGAGACCCATTAAATTGATTTCGTTTTATGACCGATCCGTTACAAACACTACAACCAATTGGTTACTCCGTAGTATTAAGTTTTAGTATGCTATTATCGATTTCACACTGCTACGCAACTTTTATGCCTTGTTTAATACTCCGCTAATTATTTAGAGCCCAATTTATGTTGAACATCTGGTAACTATGTATACAATGTTGTGTGCGTGTATCGTGTTATGCGGAAGGCGTACGACAACAACGCCAAATTGCTCACACTGTCGTATACTTTACGACAGCCCGAGTAATTACCAAACAGTGAGAAATTTTACCCAAGTTTTACGATCAAACATGTTAGTTTTATAAAAGTTTTATTAACTGTAATTACTTTAGCGATTGGTGTTCAGTTAAGAACGACTTCTACACTACTTCTTACTTGATTCAAAACGAAATTTAGTTAATAAACTACTTTATTCAACATATAACATGGTTCAGTGATATTACGCTAGGAAATGTCAACAATGCACTTAACGAAATCTACATAAATACTAGGGGGAAACTATCAAAGATTATGAATAACTAAAAGAGTCACGACTTACCACCACATGCTGCCGCGTCCTCTCCGAGGTTTGTTTGCGGCTTCGCACGTAAAACACAGAACGATCACAAATAACCACAGGCACTTCATTGCGATGGGCGGACCCCGCGATACATGAGCGCGGCGCTTCGAGTCACGTTTACGTCTGGCCGGCTATACAGCCACGAACATCGAGGCGGGGTCGCTGCAAGAATTGGTGGGAGGTATCTACCTGTCACACCGCCCGATTGGTCTCACACTTCTGTTTTTTTTTGTTGTTACAAGTAATCTTTGTCGTGTTTAGGTCATTAGGTTATGTTAGATATTTTGTGTAATTGGCCTTTGTAATATAAGGCTGCCCTAAGACTGCTCAGCTAAATAAGCTACGACATTTTTTTTATTATTATTTCGTCACAATTTTCGTCCATCATTAATCGTTTCATTTAAAAAGTATTAAATATTTGCCAGAAAGATAGAATTAAGTAATTTAAGAAAACTCCTAGCCTCAACGTGATCATTGTTAATTTTGCTTATGAATTTCTAAGATGCACATCTTACAACACTACTATACGAATATAGCCCTTATTTATTGCTCTATAAGGATTATTAAATAAACATCACATTCTTTAGTATCATCACAGGTAACAACGTTGTGATTGAAACATCCATCGCAACTTTGTTACACACATAGGTTATCATTAACTCAACTCATGCGCATATTTCTGAGAAATAATTAGTACTTAGGTATAAATGAAAGACCTTAGGTATAATCTTAAATTGAAACGTAAATAGAAGACAAAGTAATACCATGGGTTATGAGTAGGCAAACTAATTACACCATGTTACTCTTAGTGGAGAAACAGTTAAAAATATTGATTAATTTTGACTGGTTTTAATCCACTATTAAATAAGGCATTAGTGTAATTTTGAAGCAGAATTAAATTAATTACATATAAATTACATGATTTTAAGTGAGAATCAACTAACCATATCAACACCTACAAGAATAAATAAAAAAAATATAAAACACTTGAAAAATTAATAAAACCTCATTTCACTTCACACTTGTCGATGCGCGTGAGTCAGCGTTTCGCGCGCCGTGGTGGGAGGGGCGGAGGCGACGCGACAACCAATCAGCGCGCAGCACTGGTGCGCCCGCGCATACAGACCGCGACCACGTGCGGCTTAAGCCGTGCGCCCACGCGTTTCAAGCGCAGTGCTCAAATTTTGAAAAATAATTTTCAGAAGTAATTGAACTTCAAATTTATATAAAAGGAACTGGTCTATGTATTTAAATTGAATACTTATTTGCAGCTACTATCATGATAATATAAAACGACTAGTAGAATTTTATGAATACACAACCTATTCGTATACAAGTTGTAACTTGTCGCATTAAATGAAGCGCATCTTGAAAGAACAATGTAACGAATGAAATATACGTTTAAATAAAAGAATTATTAATAATTATTAATAAATGGCTGAGTAAGTTTAAAATATGAACTAAGGTGTCATTTTCAATGAGGCAACTTATTATTAATTATTAACATTTTCGTAGCGTAGTCGTAGCACCAATGTATTTGAACTTTAGTATTTGAATATACATAATATATTGATCCATATGATTAATAAAGCTACTAGCAATACATTAAGGAGTATCAAAGCTTCTATAATATATATATTAATAAAAACACCTTAGCTAATATTACGTATAAAAAGATCTTGCTTGCTAAGGATCTACGCATCAACTGCGTCCTTATAAAGACATCAACGCGGGCGGTCTTCAGTATGCAAACAATTTCATACCGTATTTATAGTCCTAACAAATTAATTCTTTATTTTAATGAAAGAAAGTGTAAAAGGAAATACAGTTATTTGGTTCCTAAACTTTACCAATATGATCCCTGAAGGAAAAACAAATCAAGCTGTGCTGTGTATTAAATTAAATAATTTTAGATTTCTTCATACCAATTTTTAGCATTCGATCAAAGACAATACATGTCTATTTAAAACAAAAAAGAAATATAACCCTGCTGATAACACACTACTTCCTCCACAATAAATAAGAAATTAGAAATAAATAAATCAATGTTTTTTTTTTTGGTCATAATATATATTGGGAAATATGTATGACAATATTTCTCAAGTGTTTTTTGTGTTACAAAAACTTGGCACGTGCTTCATGTGTCGACAAAATGTTTAGGGGTTAATTGAATATCTGTGTTTGGTTCAAAAGGTTGAGATGTTACGGCCGAGGGGTTGAAATTATGGCAGATGGTGAAGGTTCTTAATTGATTTTAAGTGTTCCATGTTCGAATAAAAGGTGCATAGTTTTGAAATGACATATTTAATTTCTATGTTGTATTTGCTAGAGGGTTTTTTTCTCAATACATTTAAGTTGCGGTAAGCTAGTGGTAGGTAATGTTAAGTAGACAGTTTAAATTATTGGTCCGTTAAACTGTTCTAAATTGAAAAAGAAATTCTGAAACAGAATCGATTTTTTATTCTTTTAAAATAATATTACAAAAACATTAACAAAATATATTTACGTCATTCAAATGTCAATGTATCGTCGAATACTTATAACAGCAAGGAATGTGGCCTTTAAGTATGAAAATAATGATTATTTTTGTACCTTTGTATAATCAAGACAGTATTTTTTATGCATAACAATCATTAATGAAGAACACTATCATTAATTATACATTATAATATGTCAAGTAGCTGTGACGATAAAAAAACAATGTACAAAAATCAATATAAAAACTAACTCGTGCTTTATTTAACAAACAATAGGGCAAGGCTATAAATACGGCAGCAATTTCAACGGTACTCGGTACCAATAATTAAAAACATACAAAATTAAATATACACATTGTTACAAGTCAATGGAATTCCTTCACGCTGACAAAATCACGCCATAATTTTTGGTAGTCACGCTAAATTCTGTTAATTTGCCAATTGTTGTTCACATAATCGTTATTTCGATTGGTATAAGGTTGAAAATTGTGTGTGTCATTTTACTAAGCGTTACAAACTTCATTCAGTGAAACAGAAGTGTGCTGGACAATGGTCACCGTGAAATTAAGACTAGTGGAAATGAATAAACGCTCATTACGAGCAGTTAAGCATTGTTTGTTAATTTTGTCCAAAAAATTTTAGCATTCAAATTCTTACCCAATCTCTTACATTACAAGGTTGAAAATTAAACCACTTGTGGTAATGGTAGCACTTCACGGGTGACCGAATCTCGTAAATAATTAACAATGGGGGTGTAAAACATAAATTTACTGGATTTTTTTCATAGATGGCGTTGTTCGTATGTTTTATGGCACGCATTGTGATAAGGGAAAGGAATTGATAACTTTTGTTGTATTTTGTGAATGAATGGCTTGAAGATACTTATGTGGTGTCAGCTGCTAGTGGGATGAGTCATCGAAGGTTGTGGCTTCGGTTGGTTTTGTAATTTATCATAATTAATTTTTTGCCTTATGTATGCTTAGATTGTTTGTATAAATGTCGTTGTAGTACAAATGTATTTCGGTATTTCCGAACCGATATGACCTTAACACGTGCAAGAAACGAGCGTACTCCTTCTTTACACGTGTGGTTGCTCCTCTGACTATTCTAGAGTTGAGTAGTTGTTATAGTTTTAGAGTCCAAGAGCAGCGCTAATCACTTACCATATTTTAACGCTTCTCCTCGATTGCCCCATATCCCTTACCCAAAATTTTACCACATATCTAACAAAAATTCTAAAACAATAGGTATGCCAATAATTAACTTAAACAAAACACGTTATAATTCTCAACACCGAAAACATATTTGTTCTGTTAACTAAATTAAGCAGCACCAGAAAGCAGTAAATACTAAATTAATGGAAACAACACATACAATAGAAGAGGAAGCTGCAAACAACGGACATGAACAAATAAAATGATATAAACCTAATATTTTTCACAAACATTTTTTTCCGACATAGCCAACTTTGTTTGTTTCAAACAACCGACAGCTTACTGCCAAAAATAAACACGAACGAAAAAAGAACGTTCCTGAACGAGAATGATTCAAGTCGGCGCTTTCCCATCCCTATCTTATCTCTTACGAAACACAAATATCATATCTAAGACAATGCGCAACTTTACAAATAAGTTCTATAAACCGACAATGAGTTTAACCTTAAACACTGAATGAATCTATTCAAAAAACAACTCTAGTCTTGCGCAATTTAAAGTCGCTTTCAGATCGGTTGCTATTAAAACTTTGTATCTATCCACAAAACTCGGCACTTATTGTGTCTTCATTGCTTAGAGTGAACGTAAATATGGTTTTATTGTATTTACGGATGAAGTTTTGTTGAAAGGAGTCCGTGTGGTCGCCTCCCGGAGTGTCATAGGAAAAAATGACCATTCGGCCCATCACAATGGGTTTATGGCGATGACAACTTATTAAGTAGCCGACCATTTTTCCTATCTGGAATTGTAAAGTTACCGCCAAATTTAACACCGGGAGTCGTTGATGGCCCATCTATGACAGAGCGCATTCGTTCATTCTGTTCACGAAAACGATTAATTCTCGGTGGATGTTATGAAAATGAATTGTCATCATTTTTTAATCCGTTCGTTATTTCATGGTTGAGTGTACGGTCCGAGTTTTAATTTAGACAACTATGTTTGGGTTGGTTTCTGTGAGATGTCTGAATTGTTATGGGACTGACGCTTAAGAGTTGTGTTCCAGGTTATGTTTAAAAAAACGCATTTCTTGTTTAATTTAAAAATGTTGCTTCAATGTTACAAAGACTAAACAAATCTACTTAACTAACACATATCAATACAAACAAATTATTTATTTAACGATTAGACATAATTATACCAATCCATCCATCATGATTTCGTCCAAAAATCAAATAAAATAAACATCATTAGATTATTTCCCATGCGGCGTCTGAAAAACATTTAAGACTAATCACGGTCCTAATCTAAAGCCAATTCCGATCAAAATCAGCATAAAAACGCGGTAAAATAAATCCAATCAAGATAATATAAAGAAAAAGGAATAGACAAAACCTACCACAGAGCTAACCACGGAGGTCTAATTCGGCCAAAGAGCATAAACAATCATAAAGAAACAAACTCATTTGGCATTAACACCA